ATGGGATGGGGTTTGCTCTCTGTTTATGTGCTGTGGCCTGCCTTGCCAGTGCTGGTAAGGGTGGGGTTTTTTTGTTTTGCTCCTCTGGTAGTTCCTTGATTACCATCTGTTGACTGCTTGATTGTGTGCCTGGTGGTGACCTTTGCTTATCTGGGTGATGATTCCTGGTGATTGATTGCTGGTGGGGTGATCTTCTGCTCTTCTGTCTCTTTTGAACGGTATGTAGATGCTGTTTATCTCTATGTGTCTGTTAGTTGCTGCCTTGTCTGAATATGAGGCTTCCAAGAATTCTCTTGCATTTTTGGATTTGGCTTGGTCTAAAATGTGACAGTTTCCCAGTTGAAACAGACTCAACCATAGTTTTAACTCAGATAAGCAAAGGTTACCACCAGGCACACAATCAAGCAGTCAACAGATGCTAATCAAGGAACTACCAGAGGAGCAAAGCAAAACCCCCACCAGCACCAGCAAAGCAGGCCACAGCATGTAAATAGAGAGCAAATCCCAACCCATTTTAGCACTGAAGATGTTACCTAGCTGGGTAATGAAACGTTTGCAAGAAAAGAACCAAGCTCAGAGAACCCCAAGGACTCCACAGAACAGCTGTTCTCAAACATTTTGGTCTCAGGGCCCCTTTACATTCTTAAAAAAGATTGAGGACCCCAAAGAACTTTTGTTTATTTCTATCAGTATTTACTGCATTAGAAATTAAAACTGAGACATGTTTAGAAATTATTTATTTGACTTTGTGGACCCCTTGAAAGAGTCTCAGGGGCCCCCAGGGGGCCCCAGACCACACTTTGAGAACTGCTGCAACAGAATATTGCTGTATCCTAAAGAAATGTATAGCTCTATAATATAAATTATAAATTATATTTCTGCATCTTGGATATTTGATATTGATACCGTACCTTGTTTCTCAGTCACTTTTGTTTCCCTGCAACTTAAGCTGTATTCTCACAACTTTGGGGGATTTTTAGAACCTGGAATTTATAACCCAAGTCACATTTCACTTTCCCGCTTGTAAGTTGCTTGTATCCAGAGTTGGTAGAGGAATGTTTATGGCTTTGCATCTTCTGCAGAATCAACCGGTGGCAACTTCTTTAGGAAAGTATGGTTAATCAAATAAAGCATGAACCCTTTTTTAAAAAAAAATAAAAATGGGGGGGGCTGAGTTTGCAAAGTCTGTAAAGCTGTCACGTGATGTGTTTATTTTGGCTTCCCGTCCTGTATAAACCTTCTCATTTTGGTCTGAAACCATGCTTCATCTACAGAGTAGTGTGATTTGTGAATCACTGTGTGGTGTGTCAAGTTGCCAGTGAGTTATTTGGGGACTTGGAAGTTATTTGGGAAGTTACTAACCCAAACAAACCCATGTCATTACAGTGATGTTTTACTAAAGAGCTGTTGGTGAATTCCAATTATGGGCAAATTAAAAGCCCTCTACTTAATTCCAGGAGGCTTTGCCCCCTCCCCTTTCCTTATCTTGATTTGTTAATTAACTTCAGGCTGGATCCTCTATTCCCATTGGTTGAAAGGCAGCTGATTTCCCGCCCTCGAAAGGAGTTGGGGAGGGCTGCTCATCCGTCCTGCTCTGTGATTGGGCGTGACGTCATCACCGAGCCCAGCCGGAACTATCCGGCCCATAGATTTAGAAATGTGAAGGGTAGAGTATGGATGCCGAGATTACAGTGGAAGCCATTTTTTTGTTTATTTCCCTAGGGAATAGAAGCGACAGCCTCCATAGATTTAAAGAGGTTAGGGAAGAGTTGCAATACTTTCCAGAAAGAATAGTCCTGTTTCTAGTAGCCTGTGCAGCAAAGAGGGTTTTTTTTTGTAATTACTTTAAAAACTACTCATCTATTTTGAATGCAGATGTAGTGGAATGTAATAGCGGGCGACCTTTTAAAAAGGTGGCAGCAAAATCAAGAGGTAATACTCTTTAATTTAGGGCTCACGTGCGTAGGAAGATACTGCGATTTTTGAGAAAGCGAGTTTTCTAAATAATCATGTTTTCAATATTTTCGTGTGTCTCTCCCTATGTTTCTTACGTCTATAGTCCACAACGTCCCGACAGGCCCCCTTATCGCATTCACCTCAGAGGCCGCCTGAATTGTTCCCTCCCATTGGCTGGTTGTTCAGGGCCACGCCCCTCCGCCCTTGCATCCTTATTGGCCAGGACGAGTATCCGACTCTTCCATCCTGAGCGTCCCCACCGTAGAGTTCGCTAATTGCTGCCGCACGGTCCTGGAAGGGATGTAGTGAATGCCCCTACGCGGAGTCGGTTACCCCGCTTCCTGTTGACGTGAATCTCTACATTCCCGCTCCGAAGAAGCCACAGATACGAACAGCTTGCCGGGTAGACGAATGGGATTATTTCTAGTGTTACCGCGGTGAGGGTTAAGGGGAGTAAAGGGCGGTGGTGGTGCTGCCAGGACCCATTTCGCGGAGGGCGAGGGGAGGGGGAGGAGCCTCGGGGAAGCCGGAGGGAGGGGATCGGAGGGAGGGGGAGCCAAGATGGCGGCGGCGGAGGAGGAGGAGGTCTTGCTGCCGCCGCCACCGCCGCCGCCGAGGAGTCGCAGGATGAGGTGAGGCGACGCGCGGCTC